ATAGAATATAACTATATACATTAAAATACCACCATATCCTCTAAAATTTTAAATTTCACTAAAAATTCAATTTAATTAATTTTATTTAAAGAATTTTATTACATTCCTGATTGATATTTGAGGAAAGTTTTCACGCCTGCTTATGCAGTAAAATTTTTATACTTTTACAATATATTTCATCTTGCAAAGAAGAATTGGAAAGGTAAATACAATGCATTAAATGTTATACTGGAATTAACTGCAAACGTAACGTATTAAAGTGTTATTTTACCACCAGAAAGAAATAGTTTTAATGATACTAAAATATTTTTGGCCAAATAACGTCTGGTTAATAACCTAAAATAAGGATGACTGGTTCACTCAAGAAACCTAATTATCCAATTTTCTTTGCATAATTTTGCTGTTCAGAAGACAAACATCTGTGGTTCTAATTAATATGTATCAATTTTCATGATAAATTTTAAAGTATTGAAAATCTAGATACCATTCCCATGAGAAGAATTTTGAACTTGGAATTAAAGAAACGAAAATCCTACCAGGAAAATTAACAGAGCTAGGATAAATAGAAAAAAGTGGAAATTAGAAAAATCATCACGACAGAAAATGACAAAAAATACCTAGACTTGTAAACACTCTACCGAACTCTAGAAAACTGTATCGTCCATTAACCAAAACAGTTGCTTTAATTTTCAAAGAACTCTGACAGACGTTATGCCTTATAACTGAAACAAATTACATTTCCACATTTTATCTATTTCAACTGACTAATTTCTTTGCCGCTACAATCATTGCGAAAATCTGGTGAAAAACGTTTCATGGCATTACAGCCATCATATTCACAAAATCACAACCAAATCTTTGTCTAGAATTACAAAATTTGTGAGTAAACCGTATGTTTCAAAAGAAACTCTCACGGGTTTCAACCGAAAAATCTTCTGATTCGTGACCTACAGCAGTGATAAGCGTTCCAGTTATGGAAATAGCAATCAGCAAATCACCCACACGTAGTTAACATAATTTTATGTTGATGTAACTTTTTTTGCAATCTATTTACTTAGAGTACAAAACACAAACTTTCAACTAACGATGTCATATCTAGCCATTATACATTTACCATATCACATCATCAAAACTCAAATTTGAATAGAAAAACACGAATGAGACCTAATTCAAATAATATGAATAAGGGGACAGACAGTCTAAATCAACTATGAGTACCATTATTTTATTAAAAACGTGTATGTATCTATTAAATTACTGAATAAAAGTGCTGTTATGAAGGGATAAATATAAATTTCAATTAAAGATATTAATGTAAGACAAGCCTTCTCAAGTTTAATTTCCACATAAACCAGACCATATTATTAAAATTCGATCAATTGAGATACAAGCCAATTTAATTTTGCCTTAATTACGTCTCATAAAATAAAAACACATTAAACTGATATTCCATTCTTTTAAGAAAATTGTTTTTCGACCATATTATTTCTACAGAGCTTAACTTTTCGAAAAATAAATTTTTAGTCTCAGCATTTTAAGACATTTTTGTACCTTAAATGATAAATACATATTTTCATTAGAAAATACGTTATACTGACAAAAGTGAACACAATTGACAAACATTTATTTTTTAAACGCATTTATACATTAGATGTGAACCAAATGTACAAACTATATAAGTTAAGTATGAAAATAATTCCTATCATACAAGCAGGCCAAACCACATTATATTACTTATTTTGAAATTATTCACAATTCAAAATTCATGTGCTATGCCGGGATTCGAACCATAGAGTAGAAAATCTGCGGGGAATCTGAAGTTTCTATAGCAAGTATATAGATAGAATAATTAACCTTAATAATTAATTATTTTAAAAAAATCACAAACGCGTGACATAAATAGACTTATTTTAGTCAACTTATATTTCAAAAATAGTATGTAGTGTTAACAAGGAATTCGGTCTTTCACTGCGAAAAGTTGTCACTCCCCGATGGCTGAGCTTAGTGTCGATGTGTTCACCCCGTTGTCTAGATGGATCTCTAATGAAAACGCGTGCAAAAATGCAATCTTGCCTAATACTATTTAAATGGATAAAACTGGATATTCCTCTATCGACCATTACAGTATTAATAATCTACCTTAAATTAGGGTCGATGAAGTACCATTACAAATATTCCGCCATCGATCCTAAGCACCCATACTGCTGGAGGGGCGATGATGTATTTCATCATCACCCCTCACCACTCATCTTTATAAATACAAATATAATTGAAACAAAATACATAATTCATAAGAGTTCTTGGTCCGATTGAACGAATAACGTTTTTCAATTAATTAATCTTTATATATGGCATTGGTTGAGATAAAAAAGTCAGTGTTACGAGCGGGATTCGAACCCACGACCCTCGGCTAAATACGCCGCTGCTCTACCTCATGAGCTATCGTGACTGTTTTTCGACCATATTATTTCTACAGAGCTTAACTTTTCGAAAAATAAATTTTTAGTCTCAACATTTTAATACATTTTTGTATACCTTAAATGATAAATACATATTTACATTAGAAACTACGTTATACTGACGGGCACCAACTTCCCATCTCAACCCACCTTTCGAATTTTCCTTCCTTTTTGTCATTTTTCAAATGTCGTGTAATCTATTTGATTCTGAGCGACAAATGAAATGAGAGCTTTCGAGAAGATATAGTTCATTTTTTTCCAATTCGAAGGTCTTGGGTTCGAATCCCGCTCGTGACACTGATTTTTTTATCTCAACCAATGCCTCGTATAAAGATTAATTAATTGAAAATACATATTGATAAAACACATAGAACATAACTATATACAGTAAAATACCACCACGTCCTCTAAAAGAAATTTTATATATATATATTTTTTTAAAATTTTATTAGTTAATACCCTATACATATTGGTACATATTACATTAATTAATCTTTATGTAAGGTATTGGTTGAGATAAAAAAGTCANTATATATATATATATTTATAAAAAGATAAGTACTCATCATACGCCATACGCACCCGACGTTCATCATCTCTGCAATACCACTTGCCTGAAAGCCCTCTTAATATGAGCAAAGTAATTAGCAATCCACGTACCATACTTGTTTAAATTAAAATTAAAATTTTAAAGTCTAATAACCAAGGGCGGATCCAGATTGGACATCATGGGGGGGTAACAATTTTGACATTGACAGAGAACCTAAAGATGTACAAATCAAGAGAAAACTACACATTGTTTCTCGTCCGACTTCCTTTCTCCACCTTGAAAGGGAAAACTGACAAAAAATCACTTGATTTAAAAGTTTCAATAGTTTAAAATGAACATAATTTTCATAAGTTTCTAAAATGTTTATCCGTCAGAGTCTGCAATGTAAATGTTTTTAGTCACCAACTTTAACTAATATAAATACAAATATAAAATATATTAAACACCAACTTGGATGGTATCGCATTGAGAGATCGAATAATAAGACTAGAGGCAGAAATCAGAAAGCACCAGAAGGGCATGTCTAATCACGAAAAAATCATGGTCTGCAATGTAGAAAATGCAATGTATTTAACTCAAAACACGAACAAACAAAAAAAACCTCACAACAGTAAAGAGTGAGAGATAGATTTCTTTCTTTTGTGGAATCAATCCAGCGGTGCTAAAAATTTGCTACTTTAAAAATTATAGAATAATTTGAAAACCAAGGGTATATATTATTATTTATTTGATACAAACGTAACATCATAAACATATTGGATAAAAAATTAATCAAATATTTTTGTTTCTTATTAATAGTTAAATTTTTTGTTTGTTTTTGGCTTTGTGCGGAACACATTTACACACACAAAACACACACACACATACACACCACTGAAAATAATGAAATACAATAATGGTTAACAAGTTAACTCCTAATATGAAATTTTATTTAGGCTATTTAATTAATTATTTTCTCGCGTTACTTCACTATTAGTTTTTGGTAACAATGGGAGATTTACGAAAAAGATGTGTAATGGCCACAATATATTTTTTAATATTATACACAATTTTAAGGACTTTTGCTTTTTACCGTGATTTCTCTGTTAATATAAAAGAAATCTTGGCATATTTGTAACAAAAAATTAGGAAACGCCTAACGATTTCATTTTAGTGAAAAAAAATCATTTGAGCTTTTAAACGAAAGAAATGGAACAAAACCAGGCTTAAAAGTTACAGTAAGAATCCAGCTTTAAAACAGTAACAAAAATGTCAAATAGTGAGTGACGGAGCTAGGAGTAAATGAAGTTAAACAAACGCAAAAATGGCAAAAATTTTGATTTGTTGTTGATTTGATCAATGTTGATCGATGACATCAACTTATAGGTTTCTTGATATTAAATCGAATGATCGAAGTATTGAACCGGGGGCCAAGCGTTAAGAGGAAACTGGTTTAGGGAAGGTTTATCAAGTTGTTATAATCCTGAAATAATAGTATCTTCGCTTAATTAAGGCTAAATTAAGACATATTGCATATTACAGATTCACGTGGCTCCAGGCGGGTAATTCCCCCTTTTAAACGCTCGTTGGATCCGCCACTGCTGATCACTAATAGTACCGAAGATAATTTAAACTTTTTTAAACAAGTCAAAAATATTAGCAAAATAAAAAAAAAGTTTGCGCAATTGGCAAGAGTAAAAGCAGTAATCAATATGGAAAAGTTTGTTCCAGTTACAGCAGTAGAATTATCCCTTTCATGTGCCAATATTCGCCTGTATTGTTCTAAAAATTGCCAAATACAATGGCAAAGTTTAAGGACGTTACGTTCAAAAGTATCGTATCCGTTGTAAAGTTGTAAAGAGCGCAAGGCCGAGAATCTGCGAAGAGGAGCCCTCACCGCGTTATCGCATTACTATTATTTATAACAAAAACACCATAATCCGATCCGGTGTGTCATTACATTTAATCCACGCGGCCGGGAAGACCGCCGGGAGGAAGAGTAGAAAAAGATAAAACAATTACGAGAGACGCTACGCGTAACACGTAACCGTGGGCGTGACCGGCGGGGAGGAGAGGTCGCTTTCACGTAGTATACCAATTGGTTCGCGGCCCCGCAGGATTCCAAAGACGAAGAAAATTCAGACGCGACCTTCGTCCTTCCTTGAAAGACGGCGAACGCGTCTGCGAGCAGGCCGTTCACTCGCAAGCACAGACGGGAAACGGATCCTTTCAGAACGTTACCAGCCGCCGTCATGACCACACAGGTAACTCGAATGTCTTGTCTCCACTCCTGCCTTTCGCCGGTTATGTCCATTCAATGGGGGATTTTCAAACTTTTCTACTTTTTTTTCTAATAATTTTATTTTTATTTACAAACGGACAAGAGAAAATTTACATTAATTCTGTCCAACTTAAATCATTCATTTTAAACACCAAATCATATTTTTCATACGCCACAACGCTTTCGCTTTAAATTTTAAAAGAATTTTTTCATTTCCAAAATTCTAATTATCATAGTTTCCAACAAGCACCATTTACATTTATTTATTTCCATTAGAAAAGTTGTTTGTAAAGTATGCCATTTATATTCAAAATTGCAATGGCACAAGCCCAAGAAATTTGAATAATTGGCAAGCAAGCACGCCTAGCACTCAAAGCACAATTGTGAACACTCGCAGCACACAAAATAAAGCTTTTGAACGTTTCCATTGTAAATTTCTTGTCACACGTCAAAAGTTATTGAATAACAAAAATTTTTTTTCTCAAGCTCAAGCCACAAAAATAAAGAAAGCTTTACTAAATTTTAATATAGATTTTTCCTTCTTCTTCTAGATATGTTTGTTTGAGTGTGGTGTATCTCTCTTGAAACCTCTGGATTTAAAAATTTGAATTTTTTTAGGCCAGCAATAAAACAAATCAATAATATTCTCATCCATTCAATCTTGCTTCAGTTATTCAATTTGAAATTTTATTTCATTCTTTATTTATCTAGTCATGTTTTTTCCTCACAACTGTAACCCTATTAGGAGGGAATTTATTTACTAAACTAACACTGGTCACATAAAGAATATTGTATAATATGCAAATATAATAAACTTTTATTTCAATTCAAAATCAAATATAAAAATTTGGCGTAGATGTTGAAAATATTAGTATGTTAAATCGAAAATTATTATCTTAGTAACAAAAATAATGTGAATAAATATAAAAATAATTATTAATCAAGATAAGGAAATTCGATAAATTAAAATACTTCAAAAGGGTTTTTGGGTAGAAATTGTTTAAAAGGTTTCTGGTGAAATTAATGTAAGTCTTGATAGTGATTATTCATGTCCTCGAGCAGTGGACGGTGGTATATTAAATGTTCCCATGTTTGGCCAGGTGGACAATTGGAATCTTCAATAATATGAAATCTGTTCGAATAATATCTACTTCTACAATATCCTTTTATGTTGAAGTCCATCTTTAAATTGTCTAGTTTCTTTCTGTAAAGTATTGTCAGAAAGTATTTCTTTCTCCTCTTCCTTTAGTGCTAGTATACCACTCCTCATCTTCATTTCTCCTCAGTCATCTTTTTCATTTGCTTCTTCAAGTAAGAAGCTTGGAGGAGCCCTATAGTTCAATAATCATACAATAAAAACGATATTTTGGTCCGTTGAACCGTGCATCATGCTGTCAATAAAGTTGCATAAATAAAATGTATTTTTCTAATAATATTATTGATATTGTAGTGAAATTTAAGCATTCATTCATTTGAAATTGTGTACACCGGAAATCAAAATAATACCAACCAAAAATGTTTGATTTAAATTCGTACTTTATGCTTCTGATTATGTGTACGCACGTGAGTGTGTGTTGACGAGCACTTGTACTAACATGGATTGTGTAAAACTTGTGATTTTTATCAATATTAACACCAACAGTCATTTTATTGTTAGCGGTTTTTTAAAGAATTATCCACATAACTTTGATCCTGTTGAAACTTTGTTTACCCTTATTTGGTTCTACTTAAATATAAGTACTGATGATAAGTACAAAATTTGCAAAAATAAATTTATAACAAGGTATCATACATCTTTGTAAGATTTATCAAAATGTTTTATCAACGCTACACTTTTATGGTAAATTTTTTCTTTAAGAAATCAGATTTAGCTTTGCAAAGTTGTTATCTGCTTAAACGATTATGTATTATATTCGCATATAATTATATAACTGTTATGTTTTATTTCCTTTCCTGCGCCTTTCGCCGGTTATTAGGTCAGATCCTTAAATATTGTTCCAACGTTTTCCTTGATGTTCCTTTTATTGATGAAAAGTGAAACCCATAAAACGCTATGCTCTACTTTACAATTTGTGTGACATCGCCCTTAAAAAAAAAATGTTATGAATAAAATAAAAGCATCTTGGCCAATGTATATTGATCGAAGCCAAATGACAAAGATTATTATATTTTCACTTTGCGTGGTAAACACTGACCTCTAATTACAATGAATTTTATTATGTTTAATTTATTCTGAAATTTATTTTTAATTGCCTTACTAAATGAAGCTACTTTTTTGTACATAAACCTTAAAATAAAAATGAACAAGAATATTTTATATTTTACTTTTTCTATAAAGCAGATACGTACAATTAAATAATAAAAATCATCAAAGTAACACTGACATAAAACTCTAGTTACAAGCCAATATTAAGTATTGAATTATTGAACAAGAAGGTGGTCTAAATTTTTTTTTATTTATTTTTTTTTTCAAATTATTAAATAGTAATTAAAAATATTATTTTAAATAAATGAATATATTTTTATTGATATGTCTTTTGAATATTTTATTATTAACAACAAGAATAATTTTAAATATTAATAAAGATAGTATAAAACACTAGTAATTAATAAATTATGGTTTATGCAAAGATTTTGGATACTAAGGTGAGAACATTCAACAGCCTAGAAATGTGTATTTACATTTTTCAAAAGTTTAATATTTCTGCAGAAAAAAGAAATAGATTAATAAGAAAAAAATAATAACAAGCCTTTTTTTAAAGGACCACACAATTCAAAAACCTAATCAGTAATTGGTAAAAACAATTATTTTCCTTAAGGGGAACAAAATGAACAAATTCATAATATCGTGGTTTTTATTTTACTCATTTTCTTTCAATTAATATTTAATTGATAAATTCTACTTTGTTATTGCAATGAGTTTTCCTTGTATATCCCTTTTGGAAAAAATTTATTTTATTGCAATTTTTTTTCATTTATTTTGCAAAATATGAAATAGTGTCTCGAATGGATAATAAATTCATATACAGTCAAAAATTCAGGGATAAATATAAAGTGAATTTGTTTTAAACAAACATTGTTTTTGATAAAGTTTCAATTTTAAATTAATTAATTGAAACTAATAATTAATTAATAATAAATTAATTAATAATTTTCCTCAATAAAGCCCTAAACACATTGTGTTTGAACATAATTAGTATGAGATTTTTTTTTTAATTTAGTTTTTACGTCTGTAATCTCGTCTTGTTAGATTAAATTTATTTTGACCCTAAGGATTAAAAAACGTTTATTAAAAATTTCGAAATCTATACGAATCATAGAAATACTAATTAGTGATGTTTAGACGATGGAAATATATTTAAGCACTCAAATTACATATTTAATATGTTTAACAATATTTGAAGGGCCAAGTACCCCATCATTTTCATGATTGAACCAAAGATTTTATTATATCTTATTTTCCATCGCCAATATTCAGGGACAATTTCTAGGAATCTTTATAATTTTACCGTTTGCATAACGAAAAACATAAATTAAATTTTTAGAATTGTCTTATTAAAACAATGAAAATAATAATTGTCGCGGAGCCTGAAATCACAACGAGTATCCTACATATAAAAGATTGCATCAGAAGGAATAAGGAAAGAGAAAACCTTTTAGAAGCAAAACATTTTTTAATAACTCTAATCACAGGAAGCAGAAGAACTGTTCAATTTCGCTTTTAAAACAGCATTGTGAAAGCTTTTAACGAAAAAGATTCCGTCGGCACAACCTGTCTATTTTTTAAATTTCCTTTTACACTGTTAGTGAAAGAGTTAAGTTTTACAAGTTTTGTTAATAACATAATAATATTAACTTGCCATCTTCGTAACAGGCTTTAATCTGTGGGCATTTTGTTTAATTCCATAGATGTTTTGGGATGACTTTTTTAAAAATAGGAGAACGTGAAAACTTTCTCTCACTTTTTCTTACTTTTGTGCTAATATCGCCTAATGGAATTGCAAAAAAACTGTTTTTTAAAAGGATTCATATTGTTCTGTCTATATTTTAATCAAATCAGCTATTATGTCTTATTACCTTTTCTTGTATATTTTAAAATATATATATTCTTCTATTTTAATTTAAATCAGACTGAACTTTTTTAAACTTTCCTATTTCTTTTTCTATTTTGAAACATCCACAAAAAAATTGGCAATGGGGAAAATTCCTATAACTAAATTTCAAGTATGTTCAAAAATAATATGTCGTAATAACGTATTAAAATTCTATGGGCTATGCCGGAATTCGAACCGAGAACCGCTAGCGTTGCAAATACGAGTCGGACAAATGCGAAAAATTGTAATTTTTGTTTATCTACCTATTTTATTCCAAGATGAAAAGTTATGAATCCAGTTGACAAAAGTTTAATCAGAAAGAAAAAAGGCAAAATTGATATAAAAATGGTGGAATTTAGTTTGTAAGAAGGTCAATTTTTTTCTGAAAATGTTGAATTTGATTTGGAAAAGGTATATGTGAAATATCAATGCTGAACCAACGGAATTTACTGCATTTTATGCTCCTTAGATGCCATCTTAGAATGATTATGCTATTATTATTTATTTATTAGTTAATGACAACTAACTAGACAGCATTATTATGTGAACGGGTTTCAATTACATTGTCATTTATGCGTATGACGCCTTTCAACATCTGGAACGAAACTCTATTGTTAAAAGGCCTTCATAGAAACTGATTTGTTGTCATTTTTGCGAAACTAAGCGCTGCACATATCTACGTCCGTGGGTAAAAGGGTCGGTTTTCCCATGAATCTCATGTCAGCCTAAGGAGGACCAAATGCACAGATGTGCTCACACTGTTTCTTCATTACTGGATAGCCATTTGTCTTGTACAGCTTGGCTCTTTTTTCATTTCGTAGTCGTCTGGTCATCGGTCCGTTGAAGGTAAATATCTCTGTCGGTATGTTAAAAAATCGACAATATTGAC